CCATGGAAGCCCTCTGAGTGCTGGTGTCAAATTGGCTCCTTAGCAAGCAACCATCACCAGGCTCCATTCCTATGGTCAGTTTCCATGGCAACCATCACCAGGACACATTGCTATGGTCAGTTTCCATGGCAACCATCACAGCCCCCTGTTGCTATGGTCAGTTTCCATGGCAACCATCCCCAGCCCCCTGTTGCTATGCTCAGTCCCTTGGCAGCTCCATGCAGACCCCATGCCAGGGGTGGTTGCCATGGACACCAGCTCAGGCCTGCAGCCAGAGCCCGTTGCCGTGGCAACCATTGGCAGTCCCATCCCCAGGCTCATGGGATCCCAGATCCACAGAATTGGCTGAGCTGGGAGGGACCCATCAGGATCCTGGAGTCCAAGTGCTGGCCCTGCACAGGACACCCCAGCAATGCCAGCCTGGGCCTGGCAGCGCTGTCCAAACGCTGCTGGAGCTCAGAGAGCCCTGGAGCTGGGAGCCTTCCCTGGGGAGCCTGGGCAGGGCCCCAGCAGCCTCTGGGGAAAAACCTTTTCCTGAGATCCAACCTGAGCCTGCCCCGACTCAGCTGCAGCCGTTCCCTCCAGTCCTGTCCCTGGGCACCAGAGGGAAGAGGTTCCCACAGCCCCAGCCAGGGACCCACTCCCAAGGCTGTTGCCATGGCCACCAGGGCTGGGACCAGCTGGGATGCTCGGTTTCCATGGGCTGGGGTTTAGGAATGGGATTCCCCAATTTCCTGATGCCGCTAAAGCTGCACTGCCGCTCACTGACCTCCCACCTCCCATGGAAAGCACAAAAGGCAAAGATCCCGGGCTGAAATAAGAACAATTTACTGGGAACAGCAACGGGATAAGGAACAAACAGGAACAGCAACAATATTGATAACAGAAGGGATACGAAAAAGAATTTATTTACAGGGAAAACTTCAACTGCACCAACCAGCTCTTCCTGACTACGTATTTTCTCCCAAATAGAAAAGACACCCTTCTCCTCAGGAGAGAGAGTCCCTTTCCCTGTTCCAAGCAATGACTTGAGCTGGGATCGAATATAATGATGGAGGCATGGCCAGACACTCATGTTCTTCCATCCCACCTCACATCACTGGCAGGGGTGGGGAAAGGGACAGGTGTCTTCCCAATGTGGATCACAGGGAATGTGGATCCTCTGACCAAGGACGAAGTTGGAAACACAGATGTAGATCTTCTTGTACTTGGGGCACTCGCAGGGCTTCCCTTACTGGTGCCTTCGTTGGTGTCTGGTAAAGTTCGAGCTCTGGGTGAAGCTCTTCCCACACTGGGGACATTCATAGGGCCTGTCCCCAGCATGGATGCGCCAGTGCCTGACAAGATCTGAGCTGCTCTGAAACCTCTTCTTACACTGGGGACACTCGTAGGGCCTCTCCCTGGTGTGGATGCGCCGGTGCCTGACAAGGGTGGAGTTGAGGTTGAAGCCCTTCCCACAGTTTGGGCAGCGGAAGGGCCTCTCCTCCGTGTGCGTACGCTGGTGCAGAAGGAGATTGGAGCTGGTCTGAAACCTCTTCCCACAATCAGGACACTCATAGGGCCTCTCCCCAGTGTGGATCCGCTGATGGCGGATCAGATGGGAGCTCTGTCTGAAGCTCTTCCCACATTCCCCACACTCGTAGGGCTTCTCCCCAGTGTGCAACCTCTGGTGGGCAGTCAGGCTGGACCTCTGGCTGAAGCTCTTCCCACATTCCAAGCACTCGTAAGGCCTCTCCCCATTGTGGACCCTCTGGTGGACGATCAGTTCGGAGCTGTCTCTGCAGCTCCTCCCACATTCACCACATTTGTAGGGCTTCTCCCTGCTTTGATGCTGCTCATGAACCACCAGGCTGGACCTCTGGCTGGATCTCCAGCTACCTTCCTGACCCAGGGTGGGTCTTTCTTCCTCTGAACACCCTGGGCTGCGTTTGCAGCCCCTCCTCGTGCGGCATCTCCAGGGCTTTTCATCCCCATTGGATTCCTGTGCTGTGGAACTGCTCAGAACAGCCTCTTCCGTGAGGTTCTGCTGTGGGGATTTGTCCTGCCTGGTCTCTGGCCTCAGCTCCTTGTCTGGGGGAGGAAGGACAAGGACAGGATGGGATTTGCCTTGATGCCAGAGGGAAAGGCAAGGAGATGCCCCCAGTGTGTCCCCAGCAGGACGGCATCGCCAGTGGGGTTGTCCTGCAGCCAGGGGCCATGCTGGGCTGGGAGATGGAGCAGGAGAGAGGGGGGAAAGGGGCAGTGACTTCCTCCTCACCTGCAAAATCCAGATATCCCCTCTGGCCCAAAATATCCCTCCCAAGAATGACCAAAGATACTTGGGGCTCAATTCCAGAATCTGCAAGCTCCAAACACCCCTCCAAAATAAACACACCTCCTGGTGACCCCTGATAAATTTGGGGTGAGCTCCCCCTCCCCACTCACCTGTGGGCTGAGGCGCAGGGGGGAAATGCTACCAGGGCTGGGGGTGCTGCAGACACAGAGGGTGGGTGGTGGAACCTTGTGGTTCTCCAGCTCCTGCTCCTCCTCTCTCCCTTCTCTTCCTCCCACTTCTCTTCCACTCCCACCCCAGCCCCCCCCGCTCCCATCCCCCTCTGCCACATGGCTGCCACAGCACCAGCTGCTGGGTGGGGGGAGCCCCCTGATCAGCCCCCAGGGATGGCCAGGGGACTTGGGGATCCCCCTCCCAGTGGAGATCCATCTCCACCTCTTCTTAGAGCCCCAGGAAATCACTCCAGGTGTCAAGTGCTGGGGGACAGGGCTGGACCCCCATGGAGTCGCTCTTCCTCTGTCCCAGCTACACCTTTCCCTCCCCTCTCCTCTCCTTTCTCAGTGTTCCCTCAGTCCACAGACACTTCCCAACTCAATTTAGGTGTCCCATACCCCTCTCTTCCTCCACTGTTCCACCCCTTCCCCATCATCCCCTCAATCCCCAACCCCTTCTCCATGCTGTGTTTTTGGGGTTCCAGGCCCCTCCTGGTCAATTTGGGGGTCCCATTCTGCTTTTCACTCAATTTGGGGTCCCAAACCCTCCCCCTGTCTCACCCATTACCCCTCAGCTGGGGGAGCTCACCACCAGTGCCACCAGTATGGCCCCAGCTGTCCCCACTCTCCCCATCCCCAGCGCTGAGGGGTGCCAACAGCGCCAAAGGAGCTGTGCTGTGCCCTGGGGGGGTCCCCAAAGTGGCCCCACCCTACGTGGCACTGGGAGCACTGGTCCAGTGTGGAGTGTGGCCAAGTGGCATCAGCAGTGCCTGGGCAGGGTTGGGACAGCGTGGGGGGGCCCCAATCTGGGCACTCTTCACCTCTCCCCAAATTCCGCTTCCAGGGGGCACCGGGGAGGAGGAGGGGTGAGGTGGGACCCAGAGGTGCCAGAGCCATGTGTCCCTTGCTGCCAGCATGACTCCCCTCAGGACGAGGCAGTACCCTGAAACTCCCTCAGAGGTGGTAGATACCCCATAAGGAGTGGGGTCCCCCCTGGCCTCACTACCCTGAACCTTCGGCTGCCTCATCCCAGGCCCCCTCTCCTCCCATCCCTCTCCCTCAGACTTCATCCCACACCCCAATCCACATCCCACCCTTCCCAGGCCCCCTCCCATCCCTCTCCCTCAGACTTCATCCCACACCCCAATCCACATCCCACCCTTCCCAGGCCCCATCCCACCCCATCCCAGTTCTCCAGGCAGCTGCCACCAGGCTCCCCCAAAAAACCCGCATTCCGGGGACTCCCCAGTATCCCCTCAAGGGGCATTTGCGACTCACACGTGAAGTCCTGCAAAGTCCAAACATCGCCACGGCACCAGAACCTTTAAAGGTATTTGGAGCTCTCCCTGCTGTCACCGTGCTTGTCCATCACCCATTCCCATGTCACCCCACTCCTGGTCCAGTCTGGATCCCATTTCCAGTCTCATTCCCTGACCTTATCCAAAACTCTCTGCCTGGTTGCCATTCCCATATTCCCAGTCCCATACTCCCTGCCTTGATCCTGTTCTTGTATTCCAGGTCTTGCTGCTGGTCCCACATTTCCATTTCGGTATTAGCTGTCCTGTTCCCATTCCTGCATTCCCATTTGTGATCCCGGTCGCATCTTCCTAATCCCAATCCCATATTCTCTCTCCAGTTTCTGTTTGCATATTCCATGTCCTGTTCCCATATACAGATCCCTGGTCCCACTCCAGGTCCAAGTTCCCATTCCCAGTCCCAATCCCTGTCCCAGACGCAGTCCCACATTCCTGGTCCCGATCCCAGTCCTCTCCCATAATTCCAGAATTATTCCCGGTTCCTGGTCCCATTCCCTGTCCCATTCCCGAGGGTTGTCTCTGTCATGGTGCCCTGAGTGGTCCGCAGCTCGGGCTGGCTGTGCCACACGAACCGTTCAGGCCTGCTGCTGTCCTTGGCCAGCTGCAGAGAGCACAAGGCTTTGGGCATTTCCCAGAGGCGCCCAGCTGGCCGGAGCAGCCCCTCCTGGCAGCAGCCGCTGTGGCTCAGAGCCCTCCCTCCTGCTGGGGCCATGGAGGGGCCGTGGGCCTGGAGGAGGCTCCTGTTCTTGAGACAGGAGCAAGGCTGCAGCTCCCGGCTCCGGGCCCTGGGCCGCAGCAGCCCAGGGGAGGCCCAGCTGCAGAGCTCACAGCCCCTGCTGGGTTTCACCTGGACGCTTTGGAGCACGAATCCCCATCCCATATTCTCTTTGCCGTTGCTGTTTCCGTATTCCCTGTCCCCATTCCCAATCCCATTCCCGCTCCCTGTCCCCATTCCCGCTCCCTGTCCCCTCTCACCGCACACCGCCGCCATCGCTCCGGCCCCCCCGGCCCTGGCGTCTCCGACCAAATCCCGCGCTGCTGCTCGCCCACCAATCCCAGCGGGCGATCTCTCCCTTATTTACATAACCCCGCCCTTCGGTTGGGTCTCCCGCCTCCGCCGGCTGCAGCCCCGTCCGGGCGCTGTTCGCTCCCAGCGCTCCCAGTAAGAGCGGCACTGGCAGGGAAAGCGCTCCCAGTTCCATCCCCTTGCTCTCAGTGTCTCTCCCAGTACTCTCCCTGTTGTTCCCAGTGCTCCACTATTACTCGGAGTGCCGCGCGCGGCGCGCTTGTTTTGCAACCCCCGCAGGGCAGAGCGCGGCTGCTTTTGGGTATCAGCACTTGCCCGGGCCGGACTGGGACGGAGGACGAATGGGAGGAAGAGGATGGACAGAGGAACAGGAGAAGGAAGAGGAGGAGCCCAAACACCACGCGGTTTCCCCGCTCCGGCCGCAGCTCCCCCGGCTCCTGCTGCATCGCCCCCCGGAACCCGCAGGTGAGCGGAGAGGGGGAGCTCGCCCCAAATCCATCGGGGGGGGGTCTCCGGGAGGGATTTTTGGTGGGGCAGGGGATGTTTGGATCGTGGCACGGAGGCAAATCCCATCCTCTCCTTGTCCTTCCTCCCCCAGACAAGGAGCTGAGGACGGAGACCATTGAGGACAAATCCCCACAGCAGAACCTCGTGGAAGAGGCTGTTTTGAGCGGCTCCACAGCACAGGAATCCAATGGGGTGGAAAATCCCCGGAGATCCCGCACGAGGAGGGGCTGCAAACGCAGATCTCGGGGATCCGAGGAGGAAAGCCCCCCCCTGGGCCGGGGTGGTGGCCAGAGCTTGGAGCAGGGGGTCCATGAGCAGCTCCAGGATGGGGAGAAGCCCCACAAGTGCTCGGAATGTGGGAAGAGCTTCAGGTGGAAATCCAACCTAGTCGAGCACTGCAGAATCCACACGGGGGAGAAGCCCTATGAGTGTGGGGAGTGTGGGAAGAGCTTCAGCCAGAGCTCCCATCTGATTGTCCACCAGAGGATGCACACTGGGGAGAGGCCCTACGAGTGTGATAAATGCAAGAAGAGGTTTCAGACCAAGTCCTGTCTCCTCAGTCACCAACGCATTCACACAGGGGAGAGGCCCTTCCAGTGCCCTGACTGCGGGAAGGGCTTCAGGGAGAAATCCACCCTCGTAAAGCACCGGCGCATCCACAGCGGGGAGAGGCCCTACGAGTGTGGTCAGTGCAGGAAGAGGTTTCACACCAGCTCCTACCTCCTGCTCCACCAGCGCGTTCACACAGACGAGAGGCCCTTCCTCTGCCCCGACTGCGGGAAGGGCTTCAAGGAGAACTCCAGCCTCGTCACCCACCGGCGCATCCACACCGGAGAGAAGCCCTACGAGTGTGGGCAGTGTGGAAAGAGGTTCAGAGAGAGATTCAGCCTGATTCTCCACCAGAGGAGCCACACAGGGGAACGGCCCTACGAGTGTGGGGAGTGTGGGAAGAGCTTTAGAGAGAGCTCCAGCCTGACTGTCCACCAGAGGAGCCACACTGGGGAGAGGCCCTACGAGTGTGGGGAGTGTGGGAAGAGTTTCATTACAAGCTCCAGCCTGACCGTCCACCAGAGGAGCCACACCAAGGAGAACCCCTACGAGTGTGATCAATGCAAGAAGAGGTTTCAGACCATCTCCACTCTCATCGTGCACCAGCGCATTCACACAGACGAGAGGCCCTTCTGCTGCCCCGACTGCGGGAAGGGATTCAGGGAAAACTCCCCCCTCATCAAGCACCAGCGCATCCACACCGGGGAGAGGCCCTACGAGTGTGATCAGTGCAGGAAGAGGTTTCACACCACCTCCGATGCCCTCAAGCACCAGCGCATTCACACAGACGAGAGGCCATTCCGCTGCTCCGACTGCAGGAAGGGCTTCAAGCGCAACTCCAACCTCGTCAGGCACCGGCGCATCCACACTGGGGAGAGGCCCTACGAGTGTGGGCAGTGTGGGAAGAGCTTCTCCCAGAACGCCCAACTGATCATCCACCAGAGGAGCCACACGGGGGAGAGGCCCTACGAGTGTCCCCAGTGTGGGAAGAGCTTCACCAGTAGCTCTACCTTGAACAGACACCAACGGAGCCAGCACTAAGGGCAGCCCTTCATGAGCTGCTCCAGCTCCATCCCCCACGGGAGGATCCGTGCTGGATGATGCCCAGTGACCCCAGTGGTGATCCATGGTGCCGGTGATCCCTGTTGGGAAGACACCTGCCTAGGGGCTCCACATCCTCCTGGCTCCCCGGGGCCTGGATTTTCTATTACTTTCTTGTTGTCCTTTCCAAACACCCAAATCCGGGGTTAAAAATAAAGACATTGAACTAAGACAAGGATGGGGACATGGGGGATCTTCCAGGGGATGAGGGGGATGCTAGGTCCAAGGGAGTTGAGGGTTTCTGGGAAGGACTTGGGGTTTGCTCAGGGCTTTGGGCACCCCAGGCCCAGCAGCTCCAGCTGTGCTGGGAGACCCTGGCAAAGGTTCTGGGGCCACTGATCAAAGAATCCCTGCCCTGGAACTGTCCCGCTTCCTGCTGTCCCCTGTCCAGGATCTCCCCCACCCCCATTCTTGTATCATCCCACTCCCACTTCCATCCTGCTCTGATTCCAGTCCAGATCCCATTCCCTGTCCTGTATTCTGTGTCTGGCTGCTGTTCCTGTATTCCCGCCTGTGATCTCTTTTGAGAAGACACCTGCCTGGGGGCTCCACATCCTTCTGTCTCCCCATGGGCACCTGCACATATCCACATCCCAACACCAGAAATCCATTGTGGAGATCAGATTTGTTGACTTCCGAGCTCAGAAAAATCTCACTTTTTGTATCTTCTGGTGTCATCAAACGACATTGAATGGCCTTGGAGATCTTCTCCATCATAAATCCATCCTTTTAATTCTCTCTGTCCCACTGGCATCTTCCACAGCCCAATGGGGATGAATTGGGGCAAAACCCCTGATTTTGGAGACAGTTGGGTGGAAGCCCCTCCAATAAAGGTTTTTCCCACCCATTCAAGCACGTGGATGCTCTGCTGGCAGGGACACGTAAATCCTTTTGTTTAGGCCTTGAAATGAGAAGGTTTCTGTTCATCTTTTTGAGAGCACTGAAACTGGGGTAAAAATAAAGGCGTTGAACTATGGCATGGATGGGGACATGTGAGAACATGGGAAACATGGATGGGGACATGAACTAGGACAGCATCAGTGCCACCACCTGTGCCACCACAGTGCCAGCAGCACCTTCATCTTGGCTATGGCCAAGCGCTGCCCAATGCAGTTCCTGCCACCACGTCCCCACTGTCACTCTGCAGTGTCCCAGCCGAAATGTGTCCCTGTCACCCCTCTCGGTGTCCCTGTGCTCCCTGTGACTCGCTATCCCCGTCTCTCCTGTATCTCCCTGTACCCTTCTGTGTGTCCCTGTCCCTCCCCCAATGTCCCTGTCCCCCTGCCCGGGTGGGGCCAAAGTCCCCAGGTCTCGGGATCTCCTCTGCTCTGATCTGGTTGGGAAGATCCCAAGGTGTGTCTCTGTTAAAAGTCTCTTTTCCCCAACCCAGCAGCCGAAGAAGGAGTCTTTGGTTCATGTTCTCAAGGTTGTTTATTATTTCTTTGTCTCAAACATTTTCTGTCTGGCCTGCCAAGGTCTGTTCTGCAGGTCGGTCTGAGGCACACTCCCACCTCTCGGGCTGGTGCTATCTTGTATACTAAAAACTATGTATACTATGTTTACAATTATGTTCCAATTCCTATCACCTGTGTTAGACAGTGACTTTCTACTCTAAACCAATCTGTGAATGCCAACATCATCCTGAACATGGATGCCAGGGAGAAGAAAGAAGGACAGGGCACACCCAAATCCTTCCATCTTGGAACCCCTGACCCTCATGTACAGAATTCCAAACCCCCCTGTACCGTACCCCAAAATTTTTCCCTTCACCCTGTGATTGCTCCTACTGTGCTACTTAAACTTTTGTGACCTGTAATTCTTCATACAAAGTTGGTAATTTGCTCCATGAGTTGAGATCGAATTCCCAGGTGTCCTTTGGCTTCTTGCCAGGGTCTCCGAGCCCCTGCCAGGGTTTTGAGCCATCCAGGGCATCCAGAGAGATGTCCTGGGTTCCAACACCCAAGGTCCCAGGCCCTCAAGGTATCCGTGTCCCTCAGGATGTTCCCATGGCTGCTCCTGCCACTGAGTGTCTGCGCCTGCCCCAGCAAGGTAGGGACACGCCACAACACCCTGTGACACGCTGTGATACCCAACGACATCTGACAACACCCTTTCTCCTCTGATTTTGGGTCCTTTCCCCCCACTTTGGGACCTTTTCCCCTCTTTTGTATCCTTTCCCCCCTCTTTTGTGTTCCTTCTCCCTGTTTTGTGTCTTCTCCTCCCTGTTTTGTGTCTTTTCCCCATTTTGGGTCACTTTCCCCCTATTTAGGGTTTCTTGCCCCCTATTTTGGATCCTTCCCCTCTTTTCCAACCTTTTCCCCAATTTTGGGCACTCTCCTGTGGCGCTGTGTTGTCGTGGTGTGCCTCAGCTTCCCCAGTCCCTCCCTTGAAGTTTCCTTCCCCAGGTGTCAATCACCTCTCCTTTCCCCCACCCTGACCCCCGCTGGGCACTGTCTATATCAAACCAGAAATTCCAAAGGGAGCATCTAGTGATTGGCAGGTTCAAAGGATGCTCTAAACCCCCTGGGGGCCATTAGCCCATCCAGGTGTCCCTCTTTCCCGAGACCCTGTACCTGGATTGGTGGTCCCCCTTCCCCTCTCCCCCAGGTTAAAAAGGCAAGCACACCATGCACAGGGGCGTCCTGGTGGCGTCGATTTCTCCCCACCTGAGCTGATTCTCTGTAATAAAGGCATTAAAAAGGAGCAAGATCTCCTGCCTATTTATTTCAGAGTTGTTACTGCATTCAGAGGCCATGTGGCCCAGAATAAAAACTCTGGATTAACCCCTCCATCAGGACCAACTCCTTCATCACCACCGCCTTAAAACATTTCTCCAGCACAGGGACGCCTGAGGAGTGACCCTCTCCTACCAAAAAGCCCCAGCTTGTAAACACTGGAGCTCGGGACATGCCTGGATTTGTCCCCACATGCTCAGCTGCAACTCACAGCGAGCCAGTGTCTCTGGGGTGCAAAACACCACAGGTGCTGCTATTTGGTTCAGCAGCGGGGACCAGACAAGCCAAGGCGCATCTGGTTCAGTAATATTGGTAAAAAAACAATACTCCCCTGTTGAATTTGGCAAATTTTTGGGTGCATCGCACCCTCCAACCACCTCTCCAGCCCTTAAACCCCTTTCACTCCCTGCACCCAGGTGTGTCCCCAGCTGTGTCCCCAGCTGTCCCCTTGTCTTGGTTTGAAAAGACAGGTGTCTGCTAAGGAAGGCAGGAGCCTCCCCTGAACTGGAAACTGTAAATCCCCTCCATCCAAATTTGAAATTAAGGGGGAGCTCTCAGGCAAAAATATGGGAGCAGGAATAACAGTTCTTTATTAGGGAAGAAAATTTTAAAAATAAAATAAATAATGCAGTAAACTATAACAACACTGACAAAGTCAGAACACAACCTGACATCCTGTTGGTAGCAGTTCAATTGGAATTGTGGCTGCAGTCCTCCTGGAGTGGCAGATGTAGTTCTGTCTGAGCAGTGATCCTGTAGAAGGGTGGAGTCTTCCTCTGAAGATCCAGTGGAAAAGGCAGCTGCTCCTCTGGGAATCCAGTGGCTGTTCTGGTGTCCCAAAAACTCAGATTACATCCAGTCAGGAATGCTTGGCTCCTCCTTCTGGGTGGAGCATCTCACAATGGGATGCTGTAATTTTTGTCATTCATGCAGTGACATTCAATGGCCCATTAACAGCAGATATCTCCCCAGAGGGAGCAATGGTTTGTGGAAGAGATAAAGAAAACTGCCCAATTAACTGAAGATAACTGCCCCACCTCTAACAGATGGCAAATAGAATGCACATTGCCTTGCAATCTAGGACACTCCCCACGCCACATGGACTTGTTTCTCGCCACCCTGGATGCCCTCAAGTCCCCAAACCAGGACTGTGGAGCTCCTCTTCCAGGAGATCCAGAGCTGGCCCGGCCTCCAGGGGACACCGGTGGCCCTGGGGCTCAGGGTGGGTGGCCTGGTGGGGTTGTGGGAGGGGGTTTGGGGTCATCTTGGGACTGACCGTGGGTCTTGTCCACTCTGCAGTGAGGAGTGGCCCTGGCCAGGGAGCCTGGGATGGACGGGGGCAGGAGAGGTTGGACCCTGCTCCAGATGGATCCGTGTCTGGATGGACACTGGTCTGGATGGACACCAGAGCCATGGATCCCACTCTGGATGAACACTGGTCTGGATGGACACCAGAGCCATGGATCCCAGTCTGGATGGACACTGGTCTGGATGGACACCAGAGCCATGGATCCGTGTCTGGATGGACACTGGTCTGGATGGACACCAGACCATGGATCCCAGCAGGACACTGGTCTGGATGGACACCAGGCCATGGATCCCAGCAGGACACTGGTCTGGATGGACACCAGGCCATGGATCCCAGCCGGAGACTGGTCTGGACAGCCCCTGGCCCTGCTGCCCCCCAGCCTGGCCAGCCGGGCCCAGATGCCCACCAACCTGGCCACAGCCTGGCCCATCCCCTGGCCCACCAGCCCATCCCAGTAGCCCCAACCCCAAACCCTACAAAATAAATCCAATTCCTAAACATCAGTTCCGGGTGGTGCCTGCAGAGCAAGGGGGAAACTGAGGCACGAGTTGGGAGGGTGACTTTGTGGTGATGGCAGGGGACTTTGGGACCCACCCTGGAGATCCCAAAATGAGCACCCACCCCCCAAATTGTCACCGCAGCAGCCTGGGACCCCCAGCTGTCACATGGGGTGGACTCCAGGAGCCACTGTGACCCTGCAGTCCCTTTGAGGGGTGACCCGCGGTGTCCCCCTGGTGTCACCGCCGTGTCCCCAGCGGGAGGAGCGGCATCACCTCCCGCAGGAGGAGGTGAGGCTGTGGCTGAAAGTCCCGCCCGGTCACACGGGGAAGCCGCGACAGGAGCGGGGCCGAGCGCGGGCGCGGCAGCGGAGCGCCGGGGTCAGGGTTCTCACCCGCTGCACCCCGGCTAGATGTTTCTCTTCACCAGACAGAAGGAGGGCAGCTCGAGTCCTGGATAATTCCAACTGGTTTATTGCAGGTCCAAAAGGGATAGGAAAACACGGAGGACAGGCTGAGGGACGGACAGTGAGTCGGAGGGACAGCAGGGATGGGTAACAACCAGCAGAAGGACACCAGGGCCAGTGCCAGGTCTTTGGGGAAAGTTACAGTTTTTGTGCACAGCTACATGTCGAGGGGGATGAAAGGGGAAAAGTTTTTTACAGGAGTAACTATTGAAAGATACAAAGGGTACAGGATGAGTGGGATGTGAAAGGGAGTACAGCATTCGAACCATGGGAAAGGAATGAATTTCCCCTGGCTTAGACAACGGTGCTTTCCCAGGGCATTCCTGAGATGGCTTTCTCACCCCCGACCCCCACAGCGGAGGACGCGGGGACAGTCCCCAGGGTCCCCTCGGGGGATGCTGCGGCCGGGGCAGCGCAGGGGCTGCGGGTGGTGCAGCATCCTCGGGGGGATGCGGGGGGTGGGAGTGGGAGGGAGTGACCCCAAAAATGCTGTCACAGCCCCCCCCCCCCCGTAGGATGTGGGCCACCCCCGCTTTGGGGCGCTGGTGACAAATTGGCGGGTGGCGGTGACAAAAAAGCGCAGGTGCCACCTCGGGGATGGCACAGAGAGGGGTTCCTGTGGTGCCACCAAGCTCCCCCAGCTGAGGGGCACCCCAGGGTGACAAAGGGGGGGTCAGGGGTGTCCCCAAGGGGCGGGGGGAGCGGGGAGGGGAAGCGCGGTCGGGGCGCGATGGAAACGCCTCCGGTGCCGCCTGCAGCTGGGGCACCTGTCACCCTGTCCCCCTGGCAGCTGTCACCGTGTCACCCTGTCCCATTGGCAGCCTGTCACAGTGTCACCCTGTCCCCCTGGCAGTCTGTCACCATGTCACCCTGTCTGCCTGGCAGCCTGTCACCGTGTCACCCTGTCTGCCTGGCAGTCTGTCACCGTGTCACCCTGTCCCCCCAGCAGCCTGTCACCGTGTCACCCTGTCCCCGGCAGGGGTGGGGGCTGTGGGAGGCTGGCGTGGGCGCCCACTGGGTGGGGACCCCCTGGGTGGGAAGGAGAACCCAAAACATTGGGATGCTCGGCAGAAAGATTTTCGAATGTAGAATCTGATGAAGGAATAGAAATGAAAGCAAATTTTGCTATAGAAGGAAAGAATTGCTGAGGCAGTCTTGCTGGATAACCAAGGAGGCAAAGGGTATGTTATTCAAAAGGGGTTTTTAGAGCTTAGAGCAAAGGATAAACCCACCTCAATCAAAAAGGTGTTTTACCAAGCAGAAAGATTCCACAGGTGTGGTAAATAGGTGTGATTCGTGCTGATAAATTGAAACAGTAATCAATATTGATACAATAATTAATATTTGGAAATAATTAAACAGTTAAAGTTGTAATGCCAAGAAAGAAAGGGAGAGGAGGGGTTCCCCCCTTCTCCTGCAGATGTTCAGAACAGGAAGAAGCAGGAGATAATGATTACTAAATTTAGTTGGGAGAGAGGAAAATTTGGTTGGACACCAGTAAAATGTTAATGATATGAGATTTATTGCTTTAATATTAGAACATAATATTGGCTTACACTATACCAGCTTCGTGCACATGTGTAATCCAAAAGGTGAATTACAGGACACCGAGGAAGAGGAGAAGCCTTCCTCAAAGAAGACCCTCAAAGAGTGGTACGACTCCCTAAAAGAATGGTGACGTGGTAAAGGTGATGATGAGGGTGGAGATACAAGTGTGACGAATCGAAAATGGGAGGAGATGGTAATGACATACAGCATAAAAGAGGGAATTTTGGCTTGGCAAGCTTGTCAGTAAGGTGAGGGGGGCAAGCTCTGCTCTCCGTACCCCATGTGTACCCTGCACAGTTATTTTTGCTTATGCACTGCCTGAGCATCCTGTAAGAGCTGTCTGGCAGCACTCATCATGAACTGCTGCATTATCTTACCTGGTGCTGAGGTCAGGCTAACTGGACTGTAATTACCAGGATCCTCCTTCCTAACTTTTTTGTAAATGGGTGTCACATTGCCCAGTTTCCAATCATCTGGAACCTCTCCAGTGAGCCACAACTCTTCCTCCCTAAGCTCGGCCACCAGCGAAAAGAGGTCGTTGGCTTGTTCACACCGTAGGCAGGCCTCCTCCACAACACCCCCTGACACCACTAAGCTCAAACACTCCACACAGGAATGGCTCTGTACAGACAGAGCATCCTTTTTGGAGGGCTCCACTTGGTCACACACACTTGTACCAACCACAGATTCTGACCATTAAAAATGGTCAAAACCACTAAAACCATTATCAGAAAACCATTATCAGAAGAAGGCCCAAAATCAAGCAACCAATAAAGACAGCTCAAACAACACGCAGCACCACCTAACTAGCAAGGAAACCTGCAACCCTGCCTGCACAAACTGCTGCACAAACTGCTGTGACCACACTCCTGTTTGCCCGCTCGTGTTTGCCGTGCTCCCTGGAGGGATCTTATAAAAAATCACTCAGGAACGAAGGAAGCTCCACCTCCTGCTCCAGAGTGGCTCCCAATTATATTATATTTATACTATTTTCTATTGCTCACGCCTCAAGATAATACATGATTGGTTAAATCCTTTAATGCCTGCATTTTAATATTTCAGTCAATTTTAGTTAAGTATTCCTTCTTCAAGCATCTCGCTGCAGTTTTCTTGTCTGCCTCTGCATCCTGAACTGTCTGCTTCTGAGCGTGTTCTTCTCCTGTCCTGTCCTTCAAGGCCATGGTGACCTTACTCAGTTTCTATGAAGGCTGGATTGTGCATCTGCTGTACGTGTCCATTGTCCTGCAAAAAACTCTCAACATGGCCCCACCCAAGTCATTGTCCCCCACATGTCCCCATCCATGCCATAGTTCAACGCCTTTATTTTTACCCCAGTTTCAGGGCTTTCAAAGGGATGAACAGAAACCTTTTGTATCAAAGCCAAAACAAAATGATTTATGTCTTCCTGCTGGCAGAGCATCCACGTGCTTGAATGGGTGGGAAGAACCTTATTTGGAGGGGTTTCCACCCAACGGTCACCAACACTGAGGGTTTTGCCCCAGTCCCTTCCCATCTGGATGTGGAATATGCCTGTGGGCCAGAGAGAATTAAAAGAATGGATTTATGTTGGAGAAGACCTCCAACACTATCCAGTGTTGCTTAAGGCCACCAGAAGATGCAAAAAGTGAGATTTTTCTGGGATCAGGAGTCGACAAATCAGCTCTACAAAATGGATTTTGGATATTGGTCCGTGGATATCTGCAGGTGCCCATGGAGAGCCAGGAGGATGTGGAGCCCCCAGCCAGGTGTCTTCCAAACATGGATCACCAGCACCACAGATCACTGGGGCTCTGCCCCAGCACCGGGGGTCACTGGGGATCATCCAGCACAGATCCTCCCATGGGGGATGGAGCTGGAGCAGCGCCCGGAGCTCTTCCTGCACGCGGGGCACTCACAGGGCTTCCCTTAGCGGTCCCTCCGTTGGTGCTGGGTCAAGGCTGAGCTGTGCTGGAATCTCTTCCCACACTCCCCACACTCACAGGGCCTCTCCCCAGTGTGGATGCACGCTGGCTGGTGAGGTGGGTGTTGTGCTGGAAGCCTGTCCCGCAGTCGGGACAGAGGAAGGGCCTCTCGTCTGTGTGAGTGCGCTGCTGCTGGAGGAGCCTGGAGCTGGTCTGAAACGTCTTCCAGCATTTATCACACTCGCAGGGCCTCTCTCCAGTGTGGATGTGCCGCTGCCTGACGAGGGTAGAGTTGTCCTTGAAGGTGCTCCCACAGTCAGGGCAGCGGAAGGACCTCTCATCTATGTGAATCTGCTGGTGCTGGAGGAGATGAGAGCTGGTCTGAAACCTCTTCCTGCATTTATCACACTTGTAGAGCCTCTCCACAGCATGGATCTTCTGGTGGTAGTCCAGGTTGCAGCGCTTGCTGAAGCTCTTCCCACACTCTCCACAACTGTAGGGCCTCTCCCCAGTGTGGATCCTCTGGTGGACAGTCAGGTGGGAGCTCCTCCTGAAGCTCTTCCCACACTCAGGACACTTGTAGGGCCGTTCCTCAGTGTGGATAATAAAATGGTTGATGAGGTAGGATCTCTTGCTGAAGCTCTTCCCACATTTCGGAGCACTTCTGGGGCTTCTCCCCACCCTGGAGCTGCTCAAGGATCCCCAGCTCCGAGCTCTAGCTGCCTCCCCAGCCCAGGGTGGGTCTTTCCTCCTCAGATCCCCGAGATCTGCATTTGCAGCCCCTCCTCATGCGCGATCTCCGAGGCTTTTCCTCCCCATTGGATTCCTGTGCTGTGGAGCCGCTCAAAACAGCCTCTTCCACGAGGTTCTGCTGTGGGGATTTGTCCTGCCTGCTCTCCATCATCAGCTCAGTGTCTGGGGGAGGAAGGACAAGGAGAGGATGGGATTTGCCTCCTTTGCAAAGGGAAGGGCAAGGAGATCCCCCCCGTACATCCCCAGCAGGACAGGGTCCCAGTGAGGCTGTCCTGCAGCCAGGGCCATGCTGGGCTGGGAGATGGAGCAGGAGAGAGGAGGAAAGGGGCACTGACTTCCTCCTCACCTGCCCGGGGATCCTGGTACATCTTCCTCTTCCTCACGGCCTCCTCCTCCATCGGGACGTTTGGAACTGGGAAATCCTGGTTTGGGGAAAACAAAGGCTGAGCACATTGGGTTTGATGGTCCTGCTGCCCAAGTGCAGCTGGAGAAGTCAGCGCCCCTTTCAGCCTCGGGGGGCCCTTACCCCGCTCATCCCCAGCCTCCCCGACCCCTCCAGGCAGCCGGTTCGTCCCCCGGCTCCGGGATCGCCCCTCTGCGCTCTCCCCGCTCCGGGGCTCCCGCCTTCCCCCCGGCTCTCCCGGCCATCCCCAAAGCCGAGATCGCCCCTGTGCCGCCGGTACCGGGCGATCGCCACGTGGGACCCCCCCAAGATCCCTGCAGGGGCATTTCCGGTTCGGCTTTGGGGTCCTGCACGATCCAAACATCCCCTGCCTCACCTTCCCAGGGAAAAACCTTCCCAGGGATCCCCACTGGATCTGGGGCGAGCTCACCTGCGGCTCCCGGAGGGGCAATGCAGCAGGAGCCGGGGGAGCTGCGGCCGGAGCGGCGCGGGAAGGCAGCCGGGAAACCAGTGTGATTCTGCTGCTCCTCTTCCTCCTCTTTCCCTCCTCTCCCTCCCGCTCCTGCTCCGCTCCCAGCCCGGCCCGGGCAGTGCCGACACACAAAAAAAGACACCCAAAAAGCAGCCGCGCTCTGCCCTGGGGGGTTCCGAAACAGCCTCGCCTCGTGCAGGAATGGCAGTGATACTGGGAGTAGTGGGAACGATAGTGAGAATAACAGGAGAGATCCTGACAGCACCAGGAAGAAATCAGAAGCGCTTTTCCTGCCAGTCCCACTCTTACTGGGAGCACTGGGAGGGAACTGGGAGCAAACAGGCCAGACAGAAGGGCGTGGTTATGCAAATACAAGAGAGAGATCACGCACTGGGATTGGTGGGCGGGAGCAGCGTGGGGTTTGCTCGGTGACGTCATGGCCGGGGGAGGGGCCAGAGCGATGGCGGCAGCGCGTGGTGAGAGGGGACAGGGAGCGGGAATGGGGACAGGGAATGGGAATGGGGACTGGGACTGGAGACAGGGATCAGGAATGGGGACAGGGATCAGGAATGGGGACAGGGACCGGGAATAGCACCGGGAACTGGAATGGCACAGAGAGTGGGGACAGGGACTGGGAATGGGAGTAGGAGTTGGAATATGGGTACGGGACAGGGAATATTGAAATTGAAATATGAGAACAGGAGTGGGACTGTGAATAAGAGCTGGGGAACATGGACTGGGAATATGGGACAGGGACAGGGAATGAGACTAGGAATGGGATTCAGACTGGGATGGGTGTGGAACGATACCGGGGGTGAGGTGACAAGGGAGTGGGTGGGCAAGAGGGGGTTGACAGCGGGGAGAGGGGGATCCTGGACAGGGGACACAGCAAACGAGACAGAGGGACATGGGGACAGTTCCAGGGCACGGGATCCTTGATCAGCTGCCCCACAACCTCCACCAGAGTCTCCCAGCGCAGACAGAGCTGCCAGGCTGGGATGCCCAAAGCCCTGAGCAACCCCTAAGACCTTCCCAGGAACCTTCAACTCCCTCAAACCCAGCATCCCCCCATCCCCTGGTTATCCCCCCATGTCCCCATCCATGTCTTAGCTCAATGTCATTATTTTTTACCCCAGTTTTGCGTGTTTTGAAGGGACAAAGAAATAAAAGGAAAATCCAGGCTAAGGAGAGCCAGGAGGATGTGGAGCCCCAGACAGGTGATTTCCCAACATGGATAACTGGCAGCAGGGATCGTCGGGGCTCTGCCCACTTGGGGTCACTGGGGATCATCGAGGGTGGATCCCTCTGTGCAGGATGGAGCTGGAGCAGCGCATGAAGCTCTTCCTGCACTCGGGGCATTCTCAGGTCATCTCTAAGTGGTTGCTCCTCTTCCTCCTCTTTCCCTCCTCTCCCTCCCGCTCCTGCTCCGCTCCCAGCCCGGCCCGGGCAGTGCCGACACACAAAAAAAGACACCCAAAAGCAGCCGCGCTCTGCCCTGGGGGGTTCCGAAACAGCCTCGCCTCGTGCAGGAATGGCAGTGATACTGGGAGTAGTGGGAACGATAGTGAGAATAACAGGAGAGATCCTGACAGCACCAGGAAGAAATCAGAAGCGCTTTTCCTGCCAGTCCCACTCTTACTGGGAGCACTGGGAGGGAACTGGGAGCAAACAGGCCAGACAGAAGGGCGTGGTTATGCAAATACAAGAGAGAGATCACGCACTGGGATTGGTGGGCGGGAGCAGCGTGGGGTTTGCTCGGTGACGTCATGGCCGGGGGAGGGGCCAGAGCGATGGCGGCAGCGCGTGGTGAGAGGGGACAGGGAGCGGGAATGGGGACAGGGAATGGGAATGGGGACTGGGACTGGAGACAGGGATCAGGAATGGGGACAGGGATCAGGAATGGGGACAGGGATCAGGAATGGGGACAGGGACCGGGAATAGCACCGGGAACTGGAATGGCACAGAGAGTGGGGACAGGGACTGGGAATGGGAGTAGGAGTTGGAATATGGGTACGGGACAGGGAATATTGAAATTGAAATATGAGAACAGGAGTGGGACTGTGAATAAGAGCTGGGGAACATGGACTGGGAATATGGGACAGGGACAGGGAATGAGACTAGGAATGGGATTCAGACTGGGATGGGTGTGGAACGATACCGGGGGTGAGGTGACAAGGGAGTGGGTGGGCAAGAGGGGGTTGACAGCGGGGAGAGGGGGATCCTGGACAGGGGACACAGCAAACGAGACAGAGGGACATGGGGACAGTTCCAGGGCACGGGATCCTTGATCAGCTGCCCCACAACCTCCACCAGAGTCTCCCAGCGCAGACAGAGCTGCCAGGCTGGGATGCCCAAAGCCCTGAGCAACCCCTAAGACCTTCCCAGGAACCTTCAACTCCCTCAAACCCAGCATCCCCCCATCCCCTGGTTATCCCCCCATGTCCCCATCCATGTCTTAGCTCAATGTCATTATTTTTTACCCCAGTTTTGCGTGTTTTGAAGGGACAAAGAAATAAAAGGAAAATCCAGGCTAAGGAGAGCCAGGAGGATGTGGAGCCCCAGACAGGTGATTTCCCAACATGGATAACTGGCAGCAGGGATCGTCGGGGCTCTGCCCACTTGGGGTCACTGGGGATCATCGAGGGTGGATCCCTCTGTGCAGGATGGAGCTGGAGCAGCGCATGAAGCTCTTCCTGCACTCGGGGCATTCTCAGGTCATCTCTAAGTGGTGCCTCCGTTGGTGTTGGGTCAAGTTAGAGCTCTGTGAAAAGGTCTTCCCACACTGCCCACACTCGTAGGGCCTCTCCCCAGTGTGGATGCGCCGATGTACGACGAGGGTGGAGTTGCGCCTGAAGCCCTTCCCGCAGTCGGGGCAGCAGAAGGGCCTCTCCTCCAGATGAATCCGCTGGTGCAGGAGGAGGTCAGAGCTGGTCTGAAACCTCTTCCTGCATTTGTCACACTCGTAGGGCCTCTGCTTTGTGTGTCTCATTTGATGGCGGCTCAGGTTGTTGCTCGTCCTGAAGCTCTTCCCACACTCTCCACACTCGTAGGGCCTCTCCCCAGTGTGGCTCCTCTGGTGGGCAATCAGGTGAGAGCTCTGGCTGAAGCTCTTGCCACACTCCCCACATTCGTAGGGCCGTTCCCCCGTGTGGATTCTCTGATGGCTGCTCAGATTGGGTCTGGTCCTGAAGCTCTGACCACACCAGGGACACTTGTAGGGCTTCTCCCCAGTGTGGATGTGCTGGTGGCTGATGAGGTCTGATTTGTGCCTGAAGCCCTTCCTGCACTTGAAGCAGCGAAAGGGCCTCTCATCTGTGTGAATCCGTTGATGTATGAGCAGAGTGGAGCTGGTCTGAAAAGTCTTGCTGCACTGATCACACTTGTAGGGCCTCTCCCCTGTGTGGCTCCTCTGGTGGTTGCTCAGGCTAGAGCTCCGGCTGAAGCTCTTCCCACACTCACCACACTCGTAGGGCCTCTCCCCCGTGTGGATTCTCCAATGGCACATCAGGTAGAATCTCTTGCAGAAGCTCTTCCCACATTCCGAGCACTTGTGGGGCTTCTCCCCGTCCTGGAGCTGCTCATGGACCCCCAGCTCCGAGCTCCTGATGCCTCCCCGGGCCAGTTTGGGCCTTTCCTCCTCCAATTCCCATGATCTGCGTTTGCAGCTCCTCCTCATGCCGGATCTCCAGGCCTTTTCCTCTCCATTGGATTCCTGCGCCGTGGAGCTGCTCAAAGCAGCCTCTTCCACGAGATTCTGCTGCGAGGATTTGTCCTCCCTGCTCTCCATCCTCAGCTGAGTGTCTGGGGGAGGAAGGACAAGGAGAGGATGGGATTTGCCTCCGTGCCACAGGGAAGGGCAAGGAGACCCCCCAGTGCATCCCCAGCAGGACAGGGTCACCTGCAGGGCTGTCCTGCAGCCGGGGCCGTGCTGGGCTGGGAGATGGAGCAGGAGAGAGGGGGAAAGGGGCACTGACTTCCTCCTCACCTGCCTGGGGCTCCCGGGCCATCTTCCTCTTCCTTGCAGCCTCCTCCTTTTTCATCCTGCCATGGTTTGGGAATGGATAATCCTGCTTTGGGGGGGAAAACCAGGGCTGAGTGAGTTGGGTTTGATGGTCCCGCTGCCCAAGTGCCGCTGGAAAAGTCAGCGCCCATTTCATCCACGGGGTTCGGAGACCGCTCATCCCCAGCCTCCCCCACACCCCTAAGGGCTCTAGGGGGGTTCCCTGGCTCCGAGATCATTCCTCTGCGATCTCCCCGCCCTGGGGCTCCCGCCTTCACCCACGGCTCTCCCGGGGATCCCCAAACCCGGTCCCCCCCTCCCCGCCCGTACCGGGCGATCGCCACGTGGGATCAGCAAAGATCCCTGCATCAGCATTTCCGCTATAGCTTTGGAGTCCTGCAAGATCCAAGCATCCCCCATCCCACAAAACAAACTCCTCCCAGACATCCTCCGCATGGATTTGGGGCGAGCTCGCCGCCCCGCTTCACCTGCGGGTTCCGGGGGGCGATGCTGGCGGAACACGGGAAGCTGCGGCCGGAGCGGGGAACCGCGTGGGGACGGCGCTGCACCTCCTCCTGCTCCTCCTCTTCCGTCTCTCCTCTTCTTGCTCCTCCTGTTCCTCCCTCTCCTCACTTTCCCTTTCCTTTTCCTCCTCCTCTGTCCCTCCTCTCCCTCCCGCTCCTGCTCCGCTCCCAGCCCGGCCCGGGCAGTGCCGACACACAAAAGCAGCCGCGCTCTGCCCTGGGGGGGTTCCCAGGCGGCCCAGCCCAGCGCGGAACTGGGAGCGATACTGAGAGCACTGGGAACGATAGTAAGAGCAAGGGGAAGGAACTGGGAGCGCTTTCCCTGCCAGTGCCGCTCTTACTGGGAGCGCTGGGAGGGAACTGGGAGCGAACAGCGCCCGGACGGGGCTGCAGCCGAAGGAGGGCGGGGACAAGCCGAAAGGCGTGGTTATGCAAATATGGGAGCAATCGCGCGCTGGCCCTCTGGTGGACAATCAGGTTGGACCTCTGGGTGAAGCCCTTCCCACACTCCCCACACTCGTAGGGCCTCTCCCCGGTGTGCAGCATCAGGTGGACGATCAGGCAGGATTTCCGCCTGAAGCTCTTCCCACATTCTGAGCACTTGTGGGGCTTCTTCCCACCCTGGCGCTGATCATTCATCTCCAGCTCCGAGCTCTGGCCGCCTCCCTGGGCCAGGGTGGGTCTTTCCTCCTCGGATGCCCGTGATCTGCGTTTGCAGCCCTTCCTCGTGCGGGATCTCCGGGGATTTTCCTCCTCGCTGGATTCCTCTGCTGTGGAGCTGCTCAAAACAGCCTCTTCCATGAACTTCTGCCCTGGCGATTTGTCCTGCCTGGTCTCCATCATCAGCTCCTTCTCTGGGGAAGGAAGGACAAGGAGAGGATGGGAATGGGACAGGGAATGGGGACGGGGACTGGGCATATGGGACTGGGTAATGGAACCCAGACAGAGGATATAGGACAGGGACTGGGAATGACACTGGGAATGAGATCTGGACTGGGATGGCAGCAGGATGAGACTGGGAGTGGGGTGACACAGGAACAGGCTGTGGGACTGGAGTGAATCCTGGACAGGGGACATCAGAAAGAGGAGGATCCTGGACAGGGGACACCAGGAACCAGGACGGGGAGACATGGCAACATTCCCAGGGCAGGGGGTCCTTGATCCAGAACCTCTGGCAGGGTCTCCCAGTGCAGCTGAAACCACTCGGCATGGGGTGACCAAAGCCATGAGCAACCCCCAAATCCTGCCCAGGAACCCTCAACTCCCTCGGACCCAGCGTCCCCCACATCCCCTGAAAGGTCCTGCCATGTCCACATCCTTGTCTTAGTTCATCGTCTTTATTTTTAACCCTGAATGTGGGTGTTTGGAAAGACAAAGAGAAATCAAAATCCAGGCCACAGGGCGCCAGGAGGATGTGGAGCCCCCAGGCAGGTGTCTTCCCAACACGGATCACAGGCACCATGGATCACCGGGGCTCTGCCCACCGGGGCTCACCGGGGATCATCCAGCACGGATCCTTCCATGGAGAACAGAGCTGGAGCAGCGCATGAAGCTCTCTTGCACTCGAGCTACGCACTCACAGGGCTGTCCTTAGTGCTGGCTCTGTTGGTGTCTAGTCAAGTGCGAGGTACTGGAGAAGCTCTTCCCACACTGCGCACACTTATAGGGCCTCTCCCCAGTGTGGATGCGCCGGTGCTTGACGAGGGTGGAGTACTCACTGAAGCCCTTCCTGCAGTTTGGGCAGTGGAAGGTCCTTTCCTCTGTGTGAATGCACTGGTGTTTGAGGATATGGGAGCAGCTCTGGAACCTCTTTTTGCATTTATCACACTCCTAGTGCCTCTCCCCAGTGTGAATGCGCCGGTGGATGACAAGAGTGTAGTTGTGCTTGAAGCCCTTCCCGCACTCAGGGCAGAGGAAGGGCCTCTCATCTGTGTGAGTGCGCTGGTGCTTGAGGAGATCGGAGCTGGTCTGAAACCTCTTCCTGCACTGATCACATTCATAGGGCTTCTCCCCAGTGTGGGTCCTCTGGTGAACAGTAAGGGTGGAGCTCTGCCTGAATCTCTTCCCACACTCCCCACACTCGTAGGGCCTCTCCCCGGTGTGGATGCGCCGGTGCACGATGAGGTGGGAGTTGTGCTTGAAGCCAGTCCCGCACTCAGTGCAGTAGAAGAGCCTCTCCCCATTGGATTCCTGTGCCGTGGAGCCGCTCAAAACAGCCTCTTCCATGAGCTTCTGCTGTGAGGATTCGTCCTGCCTGGTCTCCATCATCAGCTCAGTGCCTGGGGAAGGAAGGACAAGGAGAGGATGGGATTTGCCTCCATGCCACAGGCAAGGAGATCCCCCCAGTGCATCCCTGGCAGGACAGGGTCACCAGTGGGGTTGTCCTGCAGCCGGGGCCATGCTGGGCTGGGAGATGGAGCAGGAGATAGGCGAAAAGGGGCACTGACTTCCTCCTCACCTGCTTGGGGCTCATGGACCATCTTCCTCTTCCTTGTGACCTCCTCCTCCTCCATTGGGCTGAGGTTTGGGAATGGAAAATCCTCCTTTGGAGGAGAAGAAGGGCTGAGTGAGTTGGGTTTGATGGTCCTGCTGCCCAAGTGCAGCTGGAGAAGTCAGCGCCCCTTTCAGCCTCGGGGGGCCCTTACCCCGCTCATCCCCAGCCTCCCCGACCCCTCCAGGCAGCCGGTTCGTCCCCCGGCTCCGGGATCGCCCCTCTGCGCTCTCCCCGCTCCGGGGCTCCCGCCTTCCCCCCGGCTCTCCCGGCCATCCCCAAAGCCGAGATCGCCCCTGTGCCGCCGGTACCGGGCGATCGCCACGTGGGACCCCCCCAAGATCCCTGCAGGGGCATTTCCGGTTCGGCTTTGGGTCCTGCACGATCCAAACATCGCCTGCCCCGCAAAAAAACTCTCCGGTAGATCCCGCCCCCCCCCGATGGATCTGTGGCGAGCTCCCCCTCCCCACTCACCTGCGGGTTCCGGGGGGCGATGCAGCAGGAGCCGGGGGAGCTGCGGCCGGAGCGGGCTTGGGGCTGCTTCTCCTGCCGCTCCTCCTCGTCCTTTGTCCCTCCTCTTTCTCCTCCTCCTTTTCTATCTCCTCCTCCTTCTCTCCCTCTTCGTCGTCTGTCCCTCCTCTCCCTCCCGCTCCTGCTTCGCTCCCAGCCCGGCCCGGGCAGTGCCGACACCCAAAAGCAGCCGCGCTCTGCCCTGGGGGGTTTCAAAGCGGCCCCGGCCAGCGCGTCACTGGGAGCGATACTGGGAGCACCGGGAACGATAGTGAGAATACCAGGAGAGATCCTGACAGCCCTGGGAAGGAACTGGGAGCGCTTTCCCTGCCAGTGCCGCTCTTACTGGGAGCGCTGGGAGGGAACTGGGAGCAAACAGCGCCTGGACGGGGCTGCAGCCGAAGGAGGGCGTGGCCAACTCAAAGGGCGTGGCTATGCAAATATGGGAGCGATCGGCCGCTGGGATTGGCGGGCGGGAGCAGAGCGGAGTTTCCTCGGTGACGTCAGGATTGTGGGGGGGCCGGAGTGATGGCGGCGGCGTGCGGTGAGAGGGGACAGGGAGCGGGAATAGAGACAGGAGCCGGAAAGCCGACCGGGGATGGGAATATGGGAACGGGACAGGGAATACGGAAACAGCAACCACAGAGAGAATATGGGATGGGGATTCGTGCTCCAAAGCGTCCAGGTGAAACCCAGCAGGGGCTGTGAGCTCTGCAGCTGGGCCTCCCCTGGGCTGCTGCGGCCCAGGGCCCGGAGCCGGGAGCTGCAGCCTTGCTCCTGTCTCAAGAACAGGAGCCTCCTCCAGGCCCACGGCCCCTCCATGGCCCCAGCAGGAGGGAGGGCTCTGAGCCACAGCGGCTGCTGCCAGGAGGGGCTGCTCCGGCCAGCTGGGCGCCTCTGGGAAATGCCCAAAGCCTTGTGCTCTCTGCAGCTGGCCAAGGACAGCAGCAGGCCTGAACGGTTCGTGTGGCACAGCCAGCCCGAGCTGCGGAGCCCTCAGGGCCCCATGCCAGAGACACCCCTCGGGAATGGGACTGGGAGTGGGACCAGGAACCGGGAATAATTCTGGAATTATGGGAGAGGACTGGGATCGGGACCAGGAATGTGGGACTGCGTCTGGGACAGGGATTGGGACTGGGAATGGGAACTTGGACCTGGAGTGGGACCAGGGATCTGTATATGGGAACAGGACATGGAATATGCAAACAGAAACTGGAGAGAGAATATGGGATTGGGATTAGGAAGATGCGACCGGGATCACAAATGGGAATGCAGGAATGGGAACAGGACAGCTAATACCGAAATGGAAATGTGGGACCAGCAGCAAGACCTGGAATACAAGAACAGGATCAAGGCAGGGAGTATGGGACTGGGAATATGGGAATGGCAACCAGGCAGAGAGTTTCGGATAAGGTCAGGGAATGAGACTGGAAATGGGATCCAGACTGGACCAGGAGTGGGGTGACATGGGAATGGGTGATGGACAAGCACGGTGACAGCAGGGAGAGCTCCAAATACCTTTAAAGGTTCTGGTGCCGTGGCGATGTTTGGACTTTGCAGGACTCCACGTGTGAGTCGCAAATGCCCCTTGAGGGGATACTGGGGAGTCCCCGGAATGCGGGTTTTTTGGGGGAGCCTGGTGGCAGCTGCCTGGAGAACTGGGATGGGGTGGGATGGGGCCTGGGAAGGGTGGGATGTGGATTGGGGTGTGGGATGAAGTCTGAGGGAGAGGGATGGGAGGGGGCCTGGGAAGGGTGGGATGTGGATTGGGGTGTGGGATGAAGTCTGAGGGAGAGGGATGGGAGGGGAGGGGGCCTGGGAAGGGTGGGATGTGGATTGGGGTGTGGGATGAAGTCTGAGGGAGAGGGATGGGAGGGGGCCTGGGAAGGGTGGGATGTGGATTGGGGTGTGGGATGAAGTCTGAGGGAGAGGGATGGGAGGCTCTGGTCACCTCCCTGGTCCAGGGTGGGTCTTTCCTCCTCGGATCCCCGAGATCTGCGTTTGCAGCCCCTCCCCTTGCGGGATCTCCGGGGATTTTCCTCCCCATTGGATTCCTGTGCCGTGGAGCCGCTCAAAACAGCCTCTTCCATGAGCTTCTGCTGTGAGGATTCGTCCTGCCTGGTCTCCATCATCAGCTCAGTGCCTGGGGAAGGAAGGACAAGGAGAGGATGGGATTTTCCTCCATGCCACAGGGAAGGACAAGGAGATTCCCCCAGTGCATCCCCAGCAGGATGGCATCACCAGTGGGGTTGTCCTGCAGCCGGGGCCATGCTGGGCTGGGAGATGGAGCAGGAGAGAGGGGAAAAGGGGCACTGACTTCCTCCTCACCTGCTTGGGGCTCATGGACCATCTTCCTCTTCCTCGTGACCTCCTCCTCCTCCATTGGGCTGAGGTTTGGGAATGGAAAATCCTCCTTTGGAGGAGAAGAAGGGCTGAGTGAGTTGGGTTTGATGGTCCTGCTGCCCAAGTGCAGCTGGAGAAGTCAGCGCCCCTTTCAGCCTCGGGGGGCCCTTACCCCGCTCATCCCCAGCCTCCCCGACCCCTCCAGGCAGCCGGTTCGTCCCCCGGCTCCGGGATCGCCCCTCTGCGCTCTCCCCGCTCCGGGGCTCCCGCCTTCCCCCCGGCTCTCCCGGCCATCCCCAAAGCCGAGATCGCCCCTGTGCCGCCGGTACCGGGCGATCGCCACGTGGGACCCCCCCTAAGATCCCTGCAGGGGCATTTCCGGTTCGGCTTTGGGGTCCTGCACGATCCAAACATCCCCTGCCCCGCAAAAAAACTCTCCGGTAGATCCCCCCCCGATGGATCTGTGGCGAGCTCCCCCTCCCCACTCACCTGCGGGTTCCGGGGGGCGATGCAGCAGGAGCCGGGGGAGCTGCGGCCGGAGCGGGCTTGGGGCTGCTTCTCCTGCCGCTCCTCCTCGTCCTTTGTCCCTCCTCTTTCTCCTCCTCCTTTTCTATCTCCTCCTCCTTCTCTCCCTCTTCGTCGTCTGTCCCTCCTCTCCCTCCCGCTCCTGCTTCGCTCCCAGCCCGGCCCGGGCAGTGCCGACACCCAAAAGCAGCCGCGCTCTGCCCTGGGGGGTTTCAAAGCGGCCCCGGCCAGCGCGTCACTGGGAGCGATACTGGGAGCACCGGGAACGATAGTGAGAATACCAGGAGAGATCCTGACAGCCCTGGAAAGGAACTGGGAGCGCTTTCCCTGCCAGTGCCGCTCTTACTGGGAGCGCTGGGAGGGAACTGGGAGCAAACAGCGCCTGGACGGGGCTGCAGCCGAAGGAGGGCGTGGCCAACTCAAAGGGCGTGGCTATGCAAATATGGGAGCGATCGGCCGCTGGGATTGGCGGGCGGGAGCAGAGCGGAGTTTCCTCGGTGACGTCAGGATTGTGGGGGGGCCGGAGTGATGGCGGCGGCGTCCGGTGAGAGGGGACAGGGAGCGGGAATAGAGACAGGAGCCGGAAAGCCGACCGGGGATGGGAATATGGGAACGGGACAGGGAATACGGAAACAGCAACCACAGAGAGAATATGGGATGGGGATTCGTGCTCCAAAGCGTCCAGGTGAAACCCAGCAGGGGCTGTGAGCTCTGCAGCTGGGCCTCCCCTGGGCTGCTGCGGCCCAGGGCCCGGAGCCGGGAGCTGCAGCCTTGCTCCTGTCTCAAGAACAGGAGCCTCCTCCAGGCCCACGGCCCCTCCATGGCCCCAGCAGGAGGGAGGGCTCTGAGCCACAGCGGCTGCTGCCAGGAGGGGCTGCTCCGGCCAGCTGGGCGCCTCTGGGAAATGCCCAAAGCCTTGTGCTCTCTGCAGCTGGCCAAGGACAGCAGCAGGCCTGAACGGTTCGTGTGGCACAGCCAGCCCGAGCTGCGGAGCCCTCAGGGCCCCGTGACAGAGGCACCCCTCGGGAATGGGACCAGGAATAGGGACAGGGACCAGGACAGGACCGGGAATGGGGACAGGGACTGCGAATGGGACTAGGAATATGGGATGGGACTGGGAATAAGGACAGGGACTGGGGCCATGGACCGAGAATGGGGACAGGGACTAGAACTGGGAATGGGACTTAAAAGACAGTGACCAGGACTGCAAATGGGGACATGGACTGTGAATAAGGGACTGTGATTGGGACTGGAAATACAAGACAGAGACTGGGAATGGGACCGGGAATGGGACCAGGAATGGGGAAAATGACTGGGAATGGGACTGGGAATACAGAGAAGGACCTGGAATGGAACCGGGAATGGGAATATTGGAATGGGACATGTAATTCGAAAACTTCAATCAGAGCAAGAATATGGGATGGGGATCCGGGAGATGGGATCAGGATTGGAAACGGGAATAGATGAGCGAGCCTGGGTCTGGGACTCTGGGAACAGGACAGGGAATATGGGAATGCGGGACTGGGAATACGGGAACAGGACAGGGAATATGGGACTAGGAATATGGGAATGGCAGCTGGGTAGAGAGCATGGGGCAGGGAGTGAGACTGGGAATGGGAATGGACTGGGATGGGTGCAGTACGAGACAAGCATGCTGACATGAGAATGGATGGTGAGCAAGTAGGGTGACAGCAGGGAGAGGGGAATCCTGGACAGAGGACACCGGGGAGCAGGACGGGGGAACAGTTCTAGGGCAGAGGGTCCTTGATCAGCTGCATCAGAACCTCTGCCAGGGTCTCCCAGTGCAGCCAGAGATGCTTGGCCTCAGGTGCCCAGAGCCCTGAGCAACCCCTAAGTTCCTCCAAGGAACCTTCAGGTCCCCCACATCCCCTGGATCCCCCATGGCCGAATCGTTGTCTTAGTTCAACGGCTTTATTTTTACCCTAGTTTTGGGCATTTGGAAAGGACAAAGAGAAATGAAAAGAAAATCTAGGCCACGGGGAGCCAGGAGGATGTGGAGCCCCCAGGCAGGTGTCTTCCCAACATGGATCACTGGTACCAGGGATCACCACCCCGGGGTCACTGGGGTTCATCCAGCACGGATCCTCCCGTGAGGGATGGAGCTGGAACAATGCACGAAGCTCTTCCCACACTCAAGGCACTTGCAGAGCTGCCCTTAGTGGTGGCTCTGTTGGTATTGGGTCAAGGCTGAACTCTGTGAAAAGCTCTTCCCACACTCGAGACACTTTTAGGGCTTCTCCCCAGTGTGGATGCGCCGGTGCCTGACGAGGGCGGCGTTCTGCTTGAAGCCCTTCCCACAGTCAGGGCAGCGGAAGGGCTTCTCCTTGGTGTGAGTGCGCTGGTGGACGAGGAGATCGGAGCTGGTCTGAAACCTCTTCCTGCATTCCTCACACTCATAGGGCTTCTCTCCTTTGTGGTTCCTCTGGTGGCGGATCAGGCTGGAGTAGTGGCTGAAGCTCCTCCCACACTGGGGACACTCATACGGCCGTTCCCCTGTGTGCCTCCTGTGGTGGATAATGAGGGTGGAGATCATCCCGAAGCTTTTCCCACACTCAGGACACCCATAGGGCCTCTCCCCAGTGTGGATCCGCTGGTGGGTGACAAGGCTAGACTTGTGCCTGAAGCCCTTCTTGCACTGGGCACAGCGGAAGGGCTTCTCATCTGTGTGAATGCGCTGGTGCCTGAGGAGACAGAAGCTGGTCTGAAACCTCTTCCTGCACTTATCACACTCATAGGGCCGTTCCCCGGTGTGGATTATCTGGTGTTTGATCAGGCAGGAGCTTCGGCTGAAGCTCTTCCCACAATGCCCACACTCGTAGGGCCGTTCCCCCGTGTGGTTCCTCTGGTGGTCAATCAGGTAGGAGCTCCGGCTGAATCTCTTCCCACACTTTGGACACTCGTAGGGCTTCTCCCCAGTGTGGATGCGCTGGTGGGTGACAAGTTCAGATTTCTCCCTGAAGCCCTTCCCGCAGTCATGGCAGAGGAAGGGCCTCTCCTCTGTGTGAATCCGCTGATGCCTGAGGAGATGGGAGCTGGTGCGAAACCTCTTCCTGCACTGATCACACTTGTAGCGCCTCTCCCCGGTGTGGATCCTCTGGTGGCCAGTCAGGTTGGATTTGTGGCTGAAGCTCTTCCCACACTCGCCACACTCGTAGGGCCGTTCCCCAGTGTGGATTATCCAATGGGAGATGAGTTGGCATCTCCATCTGAAGCTCTTCCCACATTCCGAGCACTTGTGGGACTTCTCCCCATCCTGGAGCTGCTCACTGACCTCCAGCTCCGAGCTCTGGCCGCCTCCCTGGGCCAGGGTGGGTCTTTCCTCCTCGGATCCCTGAGATCTGCGTTTGCAGCCCCTCCTCGTGCGGGATCTCTGGGGATTTTCCTCCCCGTTGGATTCCTGTGCTGTGGAGCTGCTCAAAACGGCCTCGTCCACGAGCTTCTGCTGCAGGGATTTGTCCTGCCTGGTCTCCCTCCTCAGCTCAGTGCCTGGGGAAGGAAGGACAAGGAGAGGATGGGATTTGCCTCCTTTGCAAAGGGAAAGGCAAGGAGATCCCCCCAGTCCGTTCCCAGCCGGATGGTGTCACCAGTGGGGTTGTCCTGCAGCTGGGGGCCATGCTGGGCTGGGAGATGGAGCAGGAGAGAGGGGGAAAGGGGCACTGACTTCCTCCTCACCTGCATGGGGCTTTCGGGTCTTCTTCCTCTTCCTCATGGCCTCCTCCTCCTCCATTGGGCTGAGGTTTGGAAATGGAAAATCCTGGTTTGGGGGAAAATAAGCTATGAGAGCTGGGGATTCCTCCTGCCCAAGCTCATCTCTAGAAGTCACCGGACATTTTGTGTCCATAAAAACCTTCAGACCACGAAGATTTAGCTGAAAAACCTCTCACAAGATTGAGACCCTCAATAGCAAGATTGAGATCCTCAAGACTTGAATGGCACATGATCATCCCAAAAAAACCCCACCAGGAGTCCACCCTCTCTGGTCTCTCCACTTTGGACTTTCTGGGGATCCTGTCTGTATTGAGGGTTCTCCTCTCCGGGGTCCCCACCCTCTCCAGGCTGTCAAGGATCCCAGGAATCCCTAGGGTCCCCCCTCTCTGCTCTTCCGACCTTGGGCTTCTGGGGCTCCCCCTTCTCTGGGCTCTCACTCAGCCATGCCGGGGCTCTTGGGCTCCCAGCGCTCCCGTGTACCCTGACTCTGCTCCAGGCTGCGGGGAGCTCCAGCGCTTCTCCCTCGCCTGGGTGTTCCCCTCTCCGGCCTCAGCCCTGGGGGGCTCCTGTCTCCTCCGGCCTCAGCCCTGGGGGTCTCCTGTCTCTGGGCTGCACACTTCGGTGTCCCAGTGTTCTCCCCTCTCCTGCCCTTCCCCGCGAGTAAACAACCTCCCGGGACACCCCCAAAATCCCCCCAAAGGCCACTTGCGGCTTAGCTTTGGAGTCTTTCACCTCCAAAAATCCCCCGGCCACCCTAAAAATACCCTCCCACGGAGCCCCCAGGATATTTGGGCGAGCTCCCCCTCCGCGGTCACCTGAGATACGGGGGGGGACAATGCCTCAGGGGCGGGAGGGCTGCGGACACAGCGAGGGCTGGACCGCGTGTTCCCCCGCTTCCACTTCCTGCTCCTCCTCTTCCTCCTCTAGCCCAGCTCTTCCTCTCATTCCTGCTCCTCCTCTTCCTTTTCCTCCTCCACGCCTCCTCCTGCTCCTTCTCTTATTCCCTCCAGCCCTTGTACTGCTGCTTCTCCATCACCGCTCCGCCGCTCCCTTCCTCCTGCCCCGTTCCCGCAGCCCTCGCAGCCCGCGGCAGGAGCGGGGCTGGAGCCGGGACAGCTCGGCATGGGCAGCGCGGGGCTCTCGGCTGCTCCCACCCGCTGGGGGCGGGGGGAACCCAATCTGGGCAAAAGGAGAGGGAAACTGGGAAAAGTGGGGGCTGCAGATCCACACTGGGGCTTGCTGGGGACCCTGGCTGGGGACTGCCAGCCCTTGGGGCTCCTCTCGGGAGATCCGGGAGGGGGAAAGGCAGAGGGGGCTGGGGTGTCACTGGGGAAGTGGCAGCACTGGGAGTGACTGGGCTGTACTGGGATCATTTTGGGAGTGAGTGGGAGCCTGCAGGGGCAATTGAAGCCGTGTTGGGGGCAAATAAGATATACTGGGAATGGCTGGGATTATTCTGAGATTGACTTGGAGCAGCTGTGAGCAACTGGGATTATGCTAGGAGCAACTGGGAAGAACTGGGTGTGACTGGCTGCATGCTGGGGGGGATTGGAAGCAACTGGGCTTATACTGGGATCAACTGGGGTCATGCTGGAGGTGACTGGGATCATACTGGCAGCCTCAGTGACTGACACTGAGGCTGTTTGGGAGCAGTTGTGAGCAAATGGGATCATACTGGAAGGAACTGGGAGTGACTGGGAACATGCTGGAGGGAACTGGGGTACACTGGGAGAGACTGGGAGTGACTGGAATGAAAGTGAGGGTGAAAGCAACTGGAACCATGTGGGGCCCAACTGGTTCATACTGGCAGTGACTGGAGGCACACTGGGGTCATACTTGGATCATACTGGGAGGGACTGGGTTAATACAGGGAGTACTTGAGAGTGACTGGGAACACACCCTGCACATCATCCCTCATACTGGGACTGAGTGGGTTGATCCAGCTGGAGGCAACTAGGACCATACTGGGAGAGATCGGAAGCAACTGGGATTATAGTGGGACCATACTGGGAGTGCTGGTACATGAGTAGGATCATACTGGAAGTTACTGGGATCATATTGGGGTTGAAAGGGAGCGACTGGGATCACACTTTGGGCTACTGGGAGCAACTGAGAGAAACTGGGATCATGCTGCAAGCAAACTGGAGGAACTGGGAAGGACTGGATGCATGCTGGAGGCAACTGGGATATTGTGGGCATGACTGGGATCATACTGGGATAGCTGAAACCTTCCTGGGGCCACTGGGAGTATCTGGGAATGGCTATGGACATGCTGAGGGCAACTGGGATATACTGGGAGTGTCTGTAAGCATACTGGGGTGACTGGAAGCACACTGGAAACAGCTGGGCCCATGCTGGCTGAGACTGGGATCATACTGAGGATGACTGAGATTCACTGGGAGTGGCTGTGAGCAACTGAAATCATGTGGAAAGGAACTGGGAGGAAGTGGGAATGACTGGGAGCATGCTGGGGGTGACTAGGATCTACTGGGAGAGACAGGGGATCATCCTGGATGCTAGTGGGGTCATGCTGGCATTGACAGGGAGCAACTGGGATCACACTGGGGGCACTGGCATCAGACTGGGAGTGACTGGGATCATACTGGGATCATACTGGTTGTGACAGGGATTAGACTGCAAGTGACAGGGATCATACTGGGAGTGGCTACAATCATACTGGGATTAGAGTGGGTGTCAATGGACCTTGACTGGGGGTTACTGGGAGCAACCAGGCCTATGCTGGGAGCCAACCGTGCACACACTGGGAGGAACTGGGAATGATAGGATGCATGCTGGTGACAACTGGGATGTACTGGGAGTGACTGGGGGCAACTGGATCATGCTGAGGTAACTGGGAGTGCCTGGGAATGATTATGAGTTCATGGCAACTGGGATATACTGGGGGTGTCTGTGAGCATACTGGGGTGACTGGGAACACACTGGGGGTGACTGGGATTAACTGGGATTTACAGAGCCTCCACTGGGGACAGCTGGAAGTGATCCCCCTGTTCCCCCCAGGCCTCCCTCAGGCTCTGTCACATCTCCCAACCTGGGATCTGCCCGGAGCAGCGCGATGGCTCCAGCGCTGGGGCTGGGGGCGCTCCTGGGGGGCCAGGGGGGAGTGGGACCCCCGGCACCGGGACCCTGATCGGCCATTCCCAGCACTGGGACCCCCCTGGATCCCCTATTTCTCTACTCCCCTTTTCCCAGCCATCCTATGGCTCCCAGACTCCAGATGTCCCATGTCATTGGGACACTCTGGAATGCCTTGGACCCCCATTCCTGCCTTTCCCAAGCCCCCAGCCCCAACTTTCTGCAAGGCCAGAGACCCCCTGAACTCCCTGTTCCTGAACATCCTGGGTGTCCCTATCCTGGTATCCCTTTTTGGGAAACCCTGGACTCCCTTTTCCTGGGCTCAAGGACCCCCTGGAACTCCCTTCTACCTGTCCAAACCTATGCCCCCCCATTTCCTTGACTCTCAGACTGCCCTGAGCCCCCATTCCTGAGAATGGAGAAGCACTTTTACCCATTTGCCTGGCACTTAGACCCCCCTGCACCCCATTATCTGGCACCAACACAACATTTTCCCAGCCCTCTGGCTCTTCAGCCCCCAACCCCACACTTTTCCTTGGCCCTGGGACCTCTGGGCCCCCATTCCTGCCTTTCCCAGTCCCCAGCCCCTCCTTTCCTCACAGAGAAGAGCCCTGGCATCCCCTTTCCTGGGCACAGGACAGCCCATCCCACCTCTCCCAGTCCCTGCACCCCCTTTCCTTGACTCAGCCCTGAACCTCCTTCCCAGCTCTCCCCCTTTTCCTTGACCAGTTGCACCACCTGGATCCCCAAACTCCTATTTCCACCTTCCCCAGCTCCCCCAAATCTCCGTGTCCCCCCGGTTCTCCACTCCCTGCAGTACCTGGAAGTGGCGCTGTCAGAGCCCAGCCCGGGGGTCCCCAGTTCTTTTGGATTGTGGATGGGACCCCCTGTGAGCCATGTGGGAGTGAGCGGGGCTGGATGGAGCCACAGACACCGGGGATGGCAACGGGAGCTGAGCTGGGATTTTGGGATAGCCAGAGCCTGCTCAAGGGCAGGAACCAGCACATATCTGACAGTGACCTGGAGACGGGGCTGGTACAACCAGAACAGGGGGAGCTGGGGGCTGGGCTGGGATCTGGGGGGCTGGGGGAATCTCTGGGAATGGGATGGGACCTGTGGGGCTGGAATGAGAATCCAGGGAGCTCCAAGGGGCTCTGTGGGGCTGGGACACGACTCCATGGGTCTGTTCTCATTCCCAGGTCTCCACACAGTGCAGGTGGTTTCCAGCTGTGACCTGCTGTCCAGTGGAGCATCCATGGATCCCACTGGTAGGGCTGTGAGGGGTGGGATTTCATCTCCTTCCAGCTGGGATCTGAGTGCTTTGCAGTGTCCCACGGTGCTGCCTGGATCACCCAGAGGTGCTGGCCCTGTTTCCATGAGCCCGGGGACCCCCGGACCCCCATTCCCGGCCAGCCCGGGGCACCTCACCCCCAGGCCTCCCTTTGCTGGGAAATCCAGCCTGGGCACGGGGCTCTGCAGCTGCTCTGGGATTTGTGATCACCCAGAGGAAAGGGAGGGAACAGAGGAGAGAGAGAAGGAGATTGGGAATCAGGGATCGCGGTCCGAGCGCCCAGTCCTGCTCCGCCAGGGGTGGGACCCGCAGCCGGCGGATCCGCGGATCCCGGTGCTGTCCCTGCTTTGGGCCAACCCCAGCGGGTTCCAGGCAGAGTTTGAGCGCCGGCCTTGTGAGTTCAGCGTGGCTGAGGAGGGTCCCGGGGGATGCCAGGAGGAAATCCCGGGGAATTCCCTGGAATTCCCGCGTCCCCTCCGCCCGCGATCCCTCGGGCACTTTGGCCTCCGCGTTCCCCGCTCTGTGCCGCCGCGATCTGCCCGGCGACCGATGACGTCACAGAATCCTCGTGCTGCCATTGGCGGGCAGGAAGGAGCAGCGCCAATGGCGGCTCTGGAGGCAGGGGCGGGGCCGCAGCGGCGCAGCGGATTGGCTGCAGCGCTGGGGCTGGGGGCGCTCCTGGAGGGGCTCGGGGGGCGGTGAGAGGTGAGGGGGACCCTGGACACCCGGAATCTCCTGAGCCGCAATTTCCGGGCACTGGGAACGCCCTGGACTTCCATTTCCGGGTACTAGAACACCGTCCACCCCCATTCCTGGAGTCTGTCACCTCCCTGCAGCCCCTTCCCCAGCGCCAGGACCCCCTGTTCCTTATCTGGCCCCGGGACCTCCCTGAATGCCCCTGAACCACCATTCCTGGGTGCTGTGACTCACTGCACCCCCCTACCCAGCGCCGGGATCCCCGTTACTCCTTATCTGGCAAGAGAGGTCCCTGAACCCCCATTTCTGGGCACCGGCACCTCTCTGGACCTCTGTTTGCGGGCACTGGGACCATCGGAGCCCCCATTTCCAGGAAGGGGATTCCCTGAACCCACATTACCCATTTCTGGAAACCCCCTGATCCTCAATTTCTGCACCACAGGACGCCCTGGAACTCAATTTCCAGGCCGAGGATCCCCTTGTCCCCCCGTTCCCTGACAACGGGACTACTTCCCTTGGTTTGAAAAGACAGGTGTCTGCTGAGGAAGGCAGGAGCCTCCCCTGAAATGGAAAATGTAAATCCCTCCGCTCTGAAGTGTTATAATTTTGAAATTAAGGGGGCTCTCAGGCAAAGGTATGGAAGCGGAAATAACAGCTCTTTATTAGGGAAGAAAATTATAAAAATAAAATAAACAATGCGGTAATACAAAACAAGACTGACAGAGTCAGAATCCAAGCTGACACCCTGTTGGTCAGGATGCCGATAGCAGCCCAACTGAAATGGTGGCTGCAGTCCTCCTGGAGGGACAGATGTGGTTCTGTTGAAGCAGTGATCCTGCAGAAGGGTGGACTTTTCCTCTGAAATTCCAGAGGTGCTGTAGATGGGCTTGGTCTTCCTCTAGGAATCCAGTGGGAAAGGGCTGCTCCTCTGGGAATCCAGTGGAGAAGAAAAGCTGCTCCTCTGGGAATCCAGTGGGAAAAGCCTGACTCTGGTGTTCCAAATCTCTCATTATATCCAGGTAGGAATGCTTGGCTCCTCCCTCTGGGCAGAGCTTCTCCCAATGGGATGATGTCATTTTATCAGCCCTGCAGTGAGGCTCAATGGCCCATTAACAGAAGATATCTCCCCTGAGGGAGGATGGCTTGGGGAAGAGATAAAGCAAACTGCCCAATTAAGGGAAGATAACTGCCCCATCAGATAGGAATAGAATACACACGCCCATTTCCAACCTAAGACATTTTCCACCCCTTATTCTATTATTATCTGCATCACAATGATATCTTACACATAGTTCTCACTGAAAACTAGGTTTCCCTGTGGCACACAAGGGGCTTCTCCATCTTTTGCATTACCCACCAAGTGTAACCAAGTCCTTGAGCAAAAACTGTCCCACGGACAGGGGGATTGTTTGGATCCCACTGTCATCCAAACATTCTTTCCTAAAATACCTTTCATGTGTACCACAGAGGCTTTATCTCCATCCACTGTGTGCAAGGGCTCAGACTGGGCAGGGGCTGCTCGATTGATGGACCCTCGGGTGTTGACCATCCAGGTGGCTTTTGCTAAGTTCGTTTCCCACTTTCTAAAGGTTTCCCCCCACAAGTGCCTTCAGAGTAGTCTAAAGTAGTTCAACGTTCCCAGCAGCTGGTGCATGAGAGGGGATATGATATATCCCTTCAATAGCATGTTCCCTGGCCCAGGTTGATAAGGCCACTCTTGAAATGGGTCCCGTTGTCCGACTCAGTTTTCTCAGGGGTGCCATGTCTCCACAGGACTTGCTTTTCCAGGCCCAAGATGGCATTCCAGGCAGTGGCGTGAGGCACAGGGTAGGTCTCCAACCACCCAGAGGAGGCTTCCACCATGGTCAGCACCTAGCCTTGCCTTGGCGTGTCTGGGGCAGTGTGATGTAGTCAATCTGCCAGGCCTCCCCACATTTATATTTGCAGTGGAGCAAATTACCAACTTTACCAATTACCAATTTACAAATTACCAATTACCAACTTTACCAATTACCAATTTACAAATTACCAATTACCAACTTTACCAATTACCAATTTACAAATTACCAATTACCAACTTTACCAATTACCAATTTACAAATTACCAATTACCAACTTTACCAATTACCAATGAAAAATTACAAGTCACAAAAGTTTAAGTAATATAGCAGTAGTTTTCACAGGGTGAAAGGTGAAATTTTGAAGAATTTTACTGTGGGGGTCTAGGGGGACAAAATGGAGGGATCTGGGCGTTGTCCTGTTCTTCTCCCTTCTTCTTCCTGGCCTCCATCTTCTTGGTGATGGTGGCACATTGGGATTGGTTTAGAATAGAACGTCACTGTCTAACATAGGTGACAGGTATTGGAAAATAACTGTAAATATTGAATACATAGTTTGGAGCATAAAAGACAACACCAGCCCCGTGGTGGGGGAGTGTGCCCCAGACTGACCTGCAGGACAGATCTCGGCAGGCCAGACAGAAAAAGTTGTGGATGAAAAATTATAAACAACCTTGAGAATGCGAGCCGAAGACTTCTGATTTCTTCTCGGACATCTGGGTTGGGGAAGAGAGACTTTCGGGATCATCTCGACCAGAGAAAACCCCGAGATGGATGTTCCTATTTCACCAACCTAAAAAGGCGGCACCTATCATCTTTGAGATAATTGCACAGTTAATCATCAAATGCCATCAGAAATGTTTACAATTAAATACAAGAGATCCTTCCGAATGTATTATATCTGTGCCACAAGAACAATTTGAATGGTGCTTTGACAACAGCACGGCTTTACAACGTGCCTTGCAAAATTTCTCGGGACAGATTACTCACCATCTACCAAGCCATAACTTACTGCAGTTGAGTGGGACCACTGAGCTATCCCTAAAACCACTGAATAGTTGCACAACCCTAGAAGGTGTTGCAGAATTTACTGTTGGTTTTGGGAAAAGGGAAAAGCCATTGTAGCGTGGAGAGAGGAAAATGAATGGCAAACATTGGAAGGTTGTGAGAATGGATCACCTCAGTTGGTGGAGCTACGTGCTGTAGCCACGGCTTTTCAACGTTTTCCCCATATTCCTTTAAATAGTGTAACTGACTCTGCCTATGTTGCTGACATCGCGCAGAGATTAGATCGAGCCCTGTTAAAAGAAATTGATAATGCACAATTTTTTAATCTACTAAAAACTTTGAGACATACCATCCAGGCCAGAATTTGTTGTCACCATGTCTGCAAAACCCTGCAGAGGATGACAGATAATGCCTTTGTATTTAAAAACAAAAAGGGGGAACTGCGGTGGCTAACAGCTGGCTCAAAGACCTCAAAGTTATAAATAATCCTAATGTTATAAATGAAATGGAACCACTTATATAACTAATTCTGTAAGTACCTCAACTGTATAACTGGACCAGTCTGGACTGTTGGGGAGCAGGTCTGGGCCATTGGAGACACAGCTAGCTATTGGCTGGTTGGCCAGGTGGACTCTAGTTCAGCCAATTATGACTAAGCACAGAGACCTTCAAAACTCTATCAGAAAAGCACTCAATAAAAGTTGGCTGTTGTTGCAAGAACCTCGGTGTGTTCTGTCGCGTGCCTCTCTCCAACATCAGGGACACAATGGGGGAATAGGGAGAGGGACTCGCAGAGGGGTGACAGGGACACAAGGGGCAGGACAGGGAAACACAGAGGGGTGACAGGCAGCCACGGCAGGGGATATCGACAAACAGAGGGGAGGGGAGGGGAGGGGATGTGATGCCAGCAGGACACACATTAGGGGACAATGTCACCACAAGTGTGGGGACGCTGCCAGCAGGGTGCCTCTGGTGGCACCCAGCATGGGGCCATGTGACTCCGGCACATGACACTGATCCTTACCCTGTCCCCAGCCTGTCCCCAGGGATGCTTGGGTGCAGTTGCCCTGGGACACCCTGGTGCCTGTCACTTGCTTCCAGACCACTTGTCACCAGCTGAACAAGGACCCTGTCCAGCCCTGGTGGGTGGTGACATTTGGCTGGGACACTGCAGTGGTGGCAGTGGGGATGTGGTGACAGGAAGTGCATCATGGACATGGCCAAGATGAAGGTGCTGGTGGCACTGTGGTGGCACAGGTGATGGCACTGATGCTGTCCCAGTTCATGTTCCCATTCATGTTTCCCATGTTCCCACCCATGTCCATGACCCGTCATGTCCCCACCCCGGGCTGTGTCCCCATGTGTCCCCACATGTACCCATCCATGTCTGTGTTCCCCATGTCCATGTCCCCATCCATGTTCCCCATGTCCCCTCATGTCCATGTCCCCCCATGGCCCTACACATGTCACTGTCCCCCACATGCCTCCATCCATGCCTTAGTTCAATGCCTTTATTTTTACCCCAGTTTCAGGGCTCTCAAAGGGATGAACAGAAACCTTTTAGTTTCAAGGATAAAACAAAAATATTTATTTGTCCCCGCCAGCAGAGTATTCGTGTGCTTGGGTGGGTGGGAAGAACGTTTCTTGGAGGGGTTCCCAACCCACTGTTTCCAAAATCAGGGGTTTTGCCCCAGTCCATCCCCATTTGGCTGTGGAAGATGCCCATGGAGCAGAGGGAATTAAAACAATGGATTTATATTGGAGAAGACCTCCACAGCTATCCAGTATTGCTTGATGAAACAAGAAGACTCAAAAAGTGAGATTTTTCTGGGATCAGGAGTCGACAAATCCCCTCTCCAAAATGGATTTCAGATGTTGTGCTGTGGATGTCTTCAGGTGCCCATGGGGAGACAGGAGGATGTGAAGACCCCAGGCAGGTGTCTTCCCAACAGGGATCACCAGCACCATGGATCAGCGGGGCTCTGCCCACTGACTTCGACAGGATCACTGCCTTAACAGAACCACATCTGTCTCTCCAGGAGGACTGCGACCACCATTTACTGGGACTGCAGGCAACACCCTGACCAGGAGGGTGCCAGGTTGTGTTCTGACTCTCTCTGTGACTTTTTGTAGTCCTGCCCTTTTATTTCAATTTTCCTAGGAAAGACTGATATTGCTATTCCCGTATCTTTGCTTGAGAGCCCCTTAATTTCAAAATTATAGTACTTTGGAGGGGGTTTGCATTTCCCATTTCAAGGAAGGCTCCTACCTTTGTTGACAGACACCTTTGTTTTCAAATCAAGAGAGGCAGAGGGACCATGAAACGCAACACGCTCATCCCTTGTTTTTCCCCAAACCAGGATTTCCCATTCCCAAACCTTGGTCCGATGGAGGAGGAGGAGGCCGCGAGGAAGAGGAAGATGCTTTTGGAGCCCCATGCAGGTGAGGAGGAAGTCAGTGCCCCTTTCCCCCTCTCTCCTGCTCCATCTCCCAGCCCAGCATGGCCCCCAGATGCAGGGCAACCCCGGTGCCAACGCCGTCCTGCCAGGGATGCACTGGGGGGATCTCCTTGCCCTTCCCTGTGGCAAGGAGGCAAATCCCATCCTCTCCTGGTCCTTCCTCCCCCAGGCACTGATGATGATGATGGAGACCAGGCAGGACAAATCCTCACAGCAGAACCTCGTGGAAGAGGCCGTTTTGAGTGGCTCCATGGCACAGGAATCCAATGGGGAGGAAAATCCCCGGAGATCCCGCACGAGGAGGGGCTGCAGACGCAGATCTCGGGGATCCGAGGAGGAAAGACCCACCCTGGGCCGGGGTGGTGGCCAGAGCTTGGAGCAGGGGGTCCATGAGCAGCTCCAGGATGGGGAGAAGCCCCACAAGTGCTCGGAATGTGGGAAGAGCTTCAGGTGGAGCTCCAAACTGATCCGCCACATGAGAATCCACACAGGGGAACGGCCATACAAGTGTGTGGAGTGTGGGAAGTGCTTCAGCACAAGCTGGGAACTGGCCAGACACTGCAGGAGTCACACAGGAGAACGGCCCTACGAGTGTGCCACGTGTGGGAAGAGCTTCTGCGACCGCACCGCCCTGATCAAACACCTGAGGAGCCACACGGGGGAACGGCCCTACATATGTGAGGAGTGTGGCAAGAGCTTCATCCAGAGCTCCCACCTGGCTGTCCACATCAGGAGCCACAATGGGGAGAGGCCCTATGAGTGTAGGGAGTGTGGCAAGAGCTTCATCCAGGGCTCCAGCCTGATTGTCCACCTGAGAAGCCACAATGGGGAGAGGCCCTATGAGTGTGAGCAATGCAGGAAGAGGTTTCTGAGACATTCCCATCTCCTCCGCCACCAGCGCATTCACACAGATGAGAGGCCCTTCTGCTGTCCTGACTGTGGGAAGGGCTTCAAGCAGAAGTCCAACCTCATCAGGCATCATCGCGTCCACACCGGGGAGAGGCCCTACGAGTGTCCCGAGTGTGGGAAGAGCTTCTCACAGAGCTCTACCTTGACCAGACACCAACGAAGCCACCACTAAGGGAAGCCCTGTGAGTGCCCCGAGTACAGGAAGAGATTTGTGTGCTGCTCCAGCTCCATCCCCCATGGGAGGATCTGCTCTGGATGATCCCCAGTGACCCCAGTGGGCAGAGCCCCGGTGATCCATGGTGCTGGTGATCCCTGTTGGGAAGACACCTGCCTGGGGTCTTCACATCCTCCTGTCTCCCCATGGGCACCTGAAGACATCCACAGCACAACATCTGAAATCCATTTTGGAGAGGGGATTTGTCGACTCCTGATCCCAGAAAAATCTCACTTTTTGAGTCTTCTTGTTTCATCAAGCAATACTGGATAGCTGTGGAGGTCTTCTCCAATATAAATCCATTGTTTTAATTCCCTCTGCTCCATGGGCATCTTCCACAGCCAAATGGGGATGGACTGGGGCAAAACCCCTGATTTTGGAAACAGTGGGTTGGGAACCCCTCCAAGAAACGTTCTTCCCACCCACCCAAGCACACGAATACTCTGCTGGCGGGGACAAATAAATATTTTTGTTTTATCCTTGAAACTAAAAGGTTTCTGTTCATCCCTTTGAGAGCCCTGAAACTGGGGTAAAAATAAAGGCATTGAACTAAGGCATGGATGGAGGCATGTGGGGGACAGTGACATGTGTAGGGCCATGGGGGGACATGGACATGAGGGGACATGGGGAACATGGATGGGGACATGGACATGGGGAACACAGACATGGATGGGTACATGTGGGGACACATGGGGACACAGCCCGGGGTGGGGACATGACGGGTCATGGACATGGGTGGGAACATGGGAAACATGAATGGGAACATGAACTGGGACAGCATCAGTGCCATCACCTGTGCCACCACAGTGCCACCAGCACCTTCATCTTGGCCATGTCCATGATGCACTTCCTGTCACCACATCCCCACTGCCACCACTGCAGTGTCCCAGCCAAATGTCACCACCCACCAGGGCTGGACAGGGTCCTTGTTCAGCTGGTGACAAGTGGTCTGGAAGCAAGTGACAGGCACCAGGGTGTCCCAGGGCAACTGCACCCAAGCATCCCTGGGGACAGGCTGGGGACAGGGTAAGGATCAGTGTCATGTGCCAGAGTCACATGGCCCCATGCTGGGTGCCACCAGAGGCACCCTGCTGGCAGCGTCCCCACACTTGTGGTGACATTGTCCCCTAATGTGTAACCAGGATTTCCCATTCCCAAAC